GAAGTCCAGACAGTGACCACCATTCAGAAGGCCAGGAAAGTCTACTGGTAAGACATGGATGTGTATGTGTGGGAACTTTATAATGTGCTTGATCTGTTGAGTCGGCTTTAACTGTCTGTTCCCGTTTGGCAGGTTTGAAAAGTTCTTGTGGTTCATCAGCTCCGAGAACTATCTCGTCATCGCAGGAAGGGACCAGCAGCAGAACGAGATGATCGTTAAACGGTACCTCCGGGCTGGTAAGGAAGCTTCTACACACTTCTCTTGGAAAATAAATACCGTCAAAATCTGGTTTATCACTTGTTCTATACTTTCTCAGGTGACATCTATGTTCATGCTGACCTCCATGGAGCAACTAGTTGTGTCATCAAAAACCCCTCAGGTAAACTTAAAATGCAGCTTTCAATGCATTTCCCCCCACTAAACTAGTTTAGGTTTCTCTGAGTTAAACTAGTTTCTCCTTACACCCTCCACTTGCTCATCGTCTTGCTCCAGGGAATCCCATCCCTCCCCGTACTCTGACAGAAGCTGGCACCATGGCTGTGTGCTACAGTGCTGCTTGGGATGCCAAGATTGTCACCAGTGCTTGGTGGGTTCATCATCATCAGGTGAGTCTAGAAAACTCTTCATGTTTTTTATGTATGTATCATCATTGAGGAGAGTGATACGATTCATCCCAATGAATCATGACGTTATCATTTTGGAATATACAGGCGCTATCAGAGAAGGAAAAACTTGGTGATTCAGTGCATTTAGATAGTCAGCTGGCCTCATTGGTGAATCTAGACCTGACCAACTGAAACAGCCTCAGATCATAACATTTTCCCACAAGCTTCTGTGGTAGGCACTGGGCACGATGAGTGGATCACCTCATCCGCCTTGCTTCTTACCTCGACGCACCCATCACTTCAGGACAGGTCTTATCAGACCACATGACCTTTTCCTCATTGCTCCAGAGTCCAATCTTTATGTTCCCTAGCACTCTGAAGACTCCTTTCCCTATTAGCCACACTGATAAGTGGTTTTCCTACTTTAATTCTTTAGTCTCCAGTTGTCTTTGCATTGTCCGCATGGAAATGTTCTTACTTTCACTATTAATCAAAGCTGTGAGCTCTTCTGATTTGATATGCGATCACTGATTACAATCCCTCTTCCTAAGAGATGGTTAACCACTAATCTCTCCAGGTTATTGTAGTTTCTGTAGTTTCCTTACTTGTTTCCTTTGCTTGAAGCAGGCCAATAATTACGTCTTTTGATATATTTTGATATGACTTTGGACATGGCTGTTTAAGAAATGAGAAGCTACTCACAGATATGTTAGTTTTAAAGCAGCCATCCTGTTAGCAGTCAAAGACTGCAGTAATTAAATCAGGGATACACGCACAAAATTGCTCCATACTAAAGTCTAAACACTCTCTGGGACCTTTGAACTTACAGGCATGTGGTGTTTTTTATAGTATAATTGTTTATTAATAAATTGATAAGTGGTATTATGTGTTTTGTTCTCCCCCAGGTGTCTAAAACCGCTCCCACTGGCGAGTACTTGACAACTGGAAGCTTCATGATCAGAGGTATCAAAGAGCAGAATTCGAATGCACGAAAGACCGACTACAAAGAGATACGATGGGACTCATTTTTGTAATTTTTTTTCCCTTAGGAAAGAAAAATTTTCTGCCACCTTCTTACTTAATTATGGGCTTTGGGTTCCTCTTCAAGGTGAGTACCATCACTAGCTGTGAGTGTATTTTCAAGCCTTTATCATTTTTAAAGAATTCGCTAATGTTTCTTCTGCTTTTTACAGGTGGATGATCAGAGTGTGTTTCGGCACCAAGGGGAGAGGAAGGTGAGAACCGTAGAGGAAGACATGGAGGAGGCCACATCCAGAACTGCCGAGCTATTAGATGAGGGAGAGGAGCTCATAGGTAGGAAGAAGCCATCAATGATGTAATTTCTGTCTATATCTATCTATATGCATTTGTTGAGCCATTTCTGCTGCCTTTCTAGGGGATGACAGCAGTAATGAAGATCAGGGTGAAGAAAGAGCAGACGATGGAGAGACCAAGGAGGTGGAGGTGAAAAAGGAGGATGACACAGAGGAGGAGGATGATGGCGCGAGTGGAGAAGTAGACTCTGCAGCAGATACAGGAGCGAAGGTGTCAGAGCGGAGTGACAGTGGTATGGAAGAAGAGAGTGAAGAATTCAGCTTTCCAGATACGACCATCACCCTCTCTCATTTACAACCCAGCAGGTAGTACCACTAACCAAGCAAAAGAAAAGCCAAACAGATGTATATTTGCAGAATTAAAAGTACTTTAATAACATTTCTCCTTATTTCTAGGAGCTCCCAGAATTCCGGCTTCAAAAAAGAAACAACTGCTCAGGCAAATATTACCATCTTTGGACATTTAAGTTTTTTCCATCTCATTTAAAGTACAATAAATAGCAATTTTTTATTCATTGACTTTCAGGATGACGTAGATTCACAGGGGAAAAAACACATGACTGCCAAGCAGAGAAGGTGAGCGTATAACCCAAATGAAAATCCTGTTTTATATTACAAGCGGATGATGACAGCATGAGCAGAGAAAGATGACCGGTTGCTGTGTTTTTGCCTCCTCCCTTAGAGAAGAGAAGAAGAAGAAGCAGCAGCAGAAACAGGAGGGCTGTGAGACTGAGGAGAAGCCTGACAAGTCATCCGGTGGACCGGTGGGGGATCAGGGGTCCAAAAGTGGCAGTGGACCCTCTCAGCAGCCGTTAAAGAGAGGTCAAAAGGTGAGACGGACGGATGAAGTTGGCATTTTTTGTGCTGTGCAAGCATCAGAGGTCTTAAAACCTTTTAGTATTTTTTTTTAATTGAGAGCTGAAGTTTTACTAAATGAGAAGATTATAAGATTACATTTAGTTTAAAAAATGGGCTAAAGGTACCAGCCACACTCTTCTGTCATTACAGAACAAACTGAAGAAGATCAAAGAAAAGTATAAAGATCAGGATGAAGAGGACAGAGAGCTGATGATGCAGCTGCTTGGGGTGAGAATGAATAGAAAAACCCTTACATGCAGCTGGCACTAGTACTTGCAGCGCACGTGGTTCTCGATGGTGTCGCAGTAAATAACATTTCAGCTGCTTTGCTTCCTTAGTCAGCTGGTTCCACGAAGGAGGAGAAAGATAAAGGGAAGAAAGGAAAGAAAGGGAAGGGGAAAGAGGAGCCCGTCAGGAAACCGGCCGCTCAAAAACAACATCAGAAAGCTCGTAATGTGGAGACTGCTGGGAAGAAAGCAGAGCAGGGTGCAGGGGAGGAGGAGGAGAAGAGGCAGCCCGGAGAGGAGGGAGGTGCTGCAGAACAGGAGGATAAGGTAATGAAAGGATTCAGTATGTGTATGTATAATAATGTTTACAAAGTTATCTGCATAAAAAAATAATCAAAGTCTGCCTCCTTAGAAGAAACATATAAAGAAATTAAGAGTAGCTCAAGACTTTTACACAATACTGTATTTAGAACAAACCTATCTGTGGCTGTTTGGTGACTCATGGCCACAGACCGGTACCTGGAAAGGTTCAACAAAGCTTTCTTCTCTTTCAGGAAGATGAGGTGGACCAGGACAATCCTGGAGCAGAGGTAAGTTTGCAGTATAAATATTTAAATATGGATTATTAATCCTAAAAAAGAAATCTGTATGCCCTTTAAAAATACTACTAAAAAGAATAGCTTGATTTTAAAGGATTTCTTTTTGTCTGTTACTTTAGGAAGCAGAGAATCTGCTCACCTCTCTAACAGGCCAGCCGCATCCGGAGGATGTGATGCTGTTTGCAGTGCCAGTCTGCGCTCCGTACACTGCTCTTTCCAACTACAAGTGAGTGGTATCAGCTTTTCCTTGTATTAGTCAAATTGAAGAGACCAAAGCCTAACTGCTTGCTTGTCTTCTGCAGACACAAAGTGAAACTGACACCAGGTTCTCAGAAAAAAGGCAAAGGTAATTCGGAAAGCTTTTGACTGACATTACTGTAAAGATAGTTTCTTTCAAGCTGATGGTAAATTCTTGTTCATGTTCCTACCAGCTGCACGCACTGCAGTGTTCAGCTTCATGAAAGCCAAAGAGGTGTCACCAAGAGAAAAAGACCTGTTCCGCAGCGTCAAGGTACAAAAAACCTTCTTGCCTTTAAAGAGTGCTTTCTGTTAATTTGTGTTGCTAAATTTACATAGTTAGTATCCATTAGAAAATAACTACAATCCAGTCATTTATCAAGGAATGCTACACAAAATAAGAAGCATTTTAATAAAGTCGCCTCACTTGTAGCCATTTCATGAGATTAAAATGAATGAACTTCAGCACAGTCATCTCACCTGTTGCTGAATCTTTATTGGATTACGTTTAGGGTCAAACAGATGTTTCAGGGTTTTTTTTTTTAACTTCACATTTTCCACCCAACAAACTGTAAAAATAGAATAATCTTATCGAAAACTGTTTGAAACTGTTACGGCATGGAAGCACAGTTTTCCCTTGTGTTACAATTCAAACTGTCCCTTTTCTCACGACGCTCTGCCGCAGGATTCTGACCTATCCAGAAACATGCCAGGAAAAGTCAAGGTGTCTGCTCCAAACCTGCTGGCTGCCAAGAAAAAATGAAGGATAGAAGACACGAGCCGGAGAGACTTTTGAAATTTACAGCATTTCTTCAGCACGGAACTGCACCTCAGTCCGGTTCACTGAGACTCTGCCGACTTCACCTATATTTCAGACATGGGTGGTTATTTTCTCAGAATTCTTGAGATTGTATTTGGTGAACCACAACATGTAACAAAGCTGAATATGTCATGTGTTTATTTTCTGAGTACAAATTATGCATTGCAGTAATAATATGCCTTTTTAATCCCACACTTAAAAACAAACAAACTAAATCAATCAAGGGAATTTTGTGCAAACCAGGCAATTCCAAACAAAGCCGCAGCCCCAATAAACTTGCAGTGAGTTATTGATTAAATTAAGTTCGTATGCTACAGTAGCCACTTTCAACAATTTATTTTCTCCAATTTCAGGCTTTAAAAACCTCTTTGAACGTACAGAATCTCACACACTCTCTCACACACACACACACACATAAATAATCATATATACACATAAAAACTTAAAGTTAGCATTTCTGTGCCTTAAAGTAGATAGTCATGTGTAGCATCAAGCACAAGTTTTAGGTCTGTGAGAACTTCGGAAAATCATTCAACATCAATAAACACTGTATTCAAGATATTCTCAAAAATTATAGTAATAATTACAACAAACTTATTTTTAATTTGTTGTTTGATACAGAATCACTGTCTTAATGAATTTAAGTTTTGTTTTTAGTTCACGTTTGTCGTCATAAGACTCATCTAATCTGGACAGAAAACGACGCCATCATTTAAGCTTTTCATCACTACTGTCGAAACGACTCATCAAAATTAAGATGGGCAAAGAATGTTTAGAGAAAAAAAAAAAAAAGCTAATCCCAAATGTAGTGAGAGGTTTCTCCTCTGTGCTATCGCATCACCAAAACCACTCAACAATGATGGTTGTCCCGGCAACATCTATAAAGGTGATTAACAGTTTTGAGGATGGCCTGTGAACCATCATGCGTCAGGCGGGACCCATTTCTAACAAATCCGAAGCCGTTCAGCATTCCTTGGAGAGGTTTTTATGTATGAAAGTATCCACTGACATGAAAAGGACTACCTGCTTTCAGAAAGCATGTATCCCTTCCACGCATACATATTGTCCTCCAATTGTCCTCTTAAGAGCCCAGTGTGTTGACACGTGCCATTCTCTGTTTGAGGCTGTGCAGGAGGTGTTTAGGCAAACAGTCCCAGTAGCTAGACAAACGCTCCCTGTGCTGAAGGATGGTCTCCATGCAGAACCTGGAAATTGGAGAGTTAGATGAACACGACGTGATGGCAAAATAAATTGAAATGGATTTCAAATCTGTATGCACTCACCGAACTAATGATTTGGGCTGAACATTGAAAACCAGCAGGTCATTGCTGTGTGCCTGTGAAGTGGAGGAAAAAATCTAATTCACCAAGTGAAAATTTGCATTAACTGCAGGTTAAATTGAGATATGATGACCATCTTACAGCTCTGTGCTGCGACAGCAGGTTGTTGGCACACCCTCCGAACGCAAACACTTCGCCATCTGGACCAGCGCACGCTGTGTGCCACAGCCTAAAAATCACAAAGTCAAACATTGTCCACATTTTAGCTCAGGAAAAACTGCCAGCGCACTGCCAGCTGTTCACAGTAACGTGAGATGGTCACCTGGGGCTCTCTGTGTGACTGTGTTTGAAAGGCTTCCATTCATTTTTGCTCACACTGTACAGCCAAGCATCACCTAAAAGACAGAAAAATAATCTCTTTGAGATCAGGTATTATTTTAGGACCTCTGATTATTTGCTCCTTGAGGTCGAGTGTCTGACTCACTCAACGTCTCCCTGTCTGTGGTGAAACCTCCAAATAGCAAGATGTGGTCTGGTGACACAGGAGTGAAGGAGTGCCAGGAACGGCCCACTGGACCCTGCTGGGGAACGCTCCTAGAACAAGGCAGAGTGGGTCACAGGGGAATAATCGGATCAGATAGTCTTGCAATTAGAAACGTGATATAAAAAAAAAAGAAAAAAAGATTCAATTCAAAACCTTTGCTATGATCCGTATAATATGTATAATCTGATTAATAAAAACCTTTATAGTGTGGATTACATACCACAGCACATTAAGAAGCACTTACATTTCATGCCACTCCCACGTGTCCAGGTCAAGATAGTACAGGTCATTTAATCTGTAGTTCTGTGAACAAAACAAAAGTACATTTGTTTATTTTGAAAACATCTTCATCTTTAAATGAGTGCACACACTTATGCACATAATTTAGGAGTGGAAAAAAAAAAGAAGAAAAGTGATGCTTTGATTTGAAATTTCACGTTTTGCCCATGCTTACCTTGTATCGGCCACCAAACACATAGCCTCTGTTGCCAACTGTTGCGCAGGCATGAGCTGCTCTGGGTGAAGGGGTGTCCCCCTGCATCAGGCCAAACCAAGACAAATTGAAAATACTGTTTAAAGATCACTAAGATCTCTCTCTTTTTTTTTTTTTTAAATTAGAAGAAAAAGGGAGAGGCTGTTTGATTACAGAGGATGTTTCCAAGTTTTACTGCAGGGCAATGTGACACACGCATTTGTGTGTATGCATAAAATCGAATGTGCTGAAGTTGTAAGGAAGTGTTTTTACCGTGGTAATTGGCTGACTCCACGTTGACGTCTCCAGATCCAGGATATGGATGTGGTTGTTCCAGCCTCGCCCAGGGCTGTCCCACTGTAGCGGTGAAAACAAAGAGGACAAGGCAGAGGGATACATTTAGATATTAAGCCGTAATTATTCAAGAAGCTCCAGCTATCAAAAGTACATTTAATTAGCAAAAACAGCATCTAATGGATTTCAAAACAATTTTATAATAGTTTTGTTTAAATGGATCATTTGTCATAAGATTTTTGTTTTTACAGACCACAAGAGAAGAGGATTCATCATATTCAAAAGTCCCTCGATGAGCGCCCTGTGCAGCGTAGCCATAGCCCCCAAAGTAGATAATTCTGCAATCATTCAGACAAATTACTTACATATTTAAAATCTTACAGAAATGATCTCTCTTATGCATTTCTCATTGTGTTGTGATCAGAAATGACCACAGATTTATCATGAGCATGAACTCTGGACTTTTAATGATTTCTTTGGACTGTTTTTCCAGCGTGGAAGGATTGTACATGTGTCTTTAATGACTTAAAAAACAAACAAATCTCTAATCCACACAGTGTCAAAAGCATACATACAAGCTCAAACATATATATAAACTCACTTAAATCTTTTAATAAGTGGCTCTGAAGGCAAAGGCCTCATTAGTGATCGGGATTGACTACAACGGGTAGTTTCTATGTGCAGCATTGAAAAGGATTTGCCTGACAGCAGTCATTGGATTGACCAATACTCAGAACAATGTGAAACTTCAAGAAGATATAAGAAGGAAAATTTTAGATTCACACACATTCAGATGTGTCACCACTTTGTCCAGTGTCTAGAGGAAGAACCAAACTGTCACCTTCAGATAAGAGGAAATTGGTTAGGATGTTTACGAACAACCCAGGAACCACCAAGGCTCAAGCCTGCCATGAACTGGAAACTGCTGGAGTGCTAGTGTCACCAACCACAATGAAGCAAGTATTGATGACTAGAAACAGCATCTAGTCAAAGGAGAGTTTATCAAATTTTAAGCGGGGGTGTATGTATGTATTTGACCCTGTTTGGATTAGAGGAAATCCAAAATAAATTCAAACTTGTGCACTCAGTCATTAATGATGTCTGCCGTACAATCATTCCATCCTGGAAAAAGAAATCATTAAAAGCCAAAAATTACCACAACATTCATTTCTACAATTAGAGTATGTAAACTATACAGTAATAAAACTTCTAAAACAACGACCATCATTGTGTCAAAATTAATGCCATTTTACTTTCAAGTAAACTCAAGATCAATCTATTGTTTTTACTCTTTTTATAGGAAAAAAAACCATTTCACAGTTAATCTAAAAACATGTTTGTCAAAAGAAATGAAGGATTGGTGAAACTGAGCCTTATTTTCTCAAGCACAATGAGTAACTACATTAAAAAAAACCCTCCAAAACAAACATACAAACAAAAACCCTTATCCTGTTACCGGTTTTTCTGAACCCAGCAGCCCAGCTTGTCCTTGGATGATGGCGGAAGTCCTTTAAGATCCCTCATTTCCTCCCACACAAGGCTGGGAGTTCTCAAGGGCAAGCGGTAAATCTATACGAGCAAAGACGTTTTGTAAAGACTGTCCGCTCGCACAGCTGGCTGATATGTTTTTAAGGTAATGTGATGCAAGCACCTATTTAAAAACACCAGAAGCAGATAGGAAATTTAGTCTAACCCTAGTCACACCCTACCTTGTTTGTGTTTCCCCGGGCGTGATGCCCCCCGAAAAGGTAGAGAACTCCATCAACACACACCCCACAGCTGCCTGACATCGATGTGTGGAGGCTACCTCCAGCTATATGCTTTGTCCTGTAAATAGAAAAAAATAAATAAATATATATGTTTATATTCATTTTTGTACACAATTACAAAGTAGAGGTATGATTGGCTTGCAAGCCAGATGCCCTCACCAGACTCCTGACTCCATGTTGTAGGTCCAGATCTCGTTTCTCGGCAGATACAAGTCGAAGAATCCATGGTTTTCAGCATTCTTGTTCAGGAGGATGAACACAGTGAAATTTAGACAATTATGGAGACGGCAGAAAGATACAGAAACATAATGGCAATGCAGTTTAGGAGCATACCTTGTATCCACCCCACACATACATGATGTTTCTGTCAACCACTGCTATATGACCACTGCGCTCAGCTGGGGCGTCCTGCTCAACTGCTTCAGCGTCTAATAACTGCTCATCGTCCACTTCCTCATCTTCCTCGTCCTCATCCATATCTTCATGTAATATCCAACCAACTAATCTGTTATCTTCATCTCTATCCGAGTCGTTGTCATCCTCTCCGTTGGGCAGATCTCCCCTGTCTTCTTCCATCTCTGCCCTTCCCTCTGCCATGCCAGCCTCTTTTGTTTCCTATCAAAGCAAGACGTAAGGTACTGAGAAATCGACTAGGTTATTGCCAATAGGATTATTCTATTAACGCATTAATCCCAGGCCAAAAATAATCTTTAAAACAAGCAAAAACAAACAATCAAGGAAATGACCCACATTTAAAACAGTGGAGGTGAGCAAAATTAGCCATAAAAATAGAACATGCTCTCTCTGTGTCAAGTAGAGATTTGCTTGTTTCTAGGTCAAAGTCACATCATCATTTACCATGGCAGCGGATTGTATCATGTTAGCAAGTAGCACGACAAATGCTGACCTACTTTTCTACCTTAACTATTTAGGCTACTAGCCCAACGCTGGCATTTAAGCATACCTCTAATATTACATGGAAGACTTACAGTGAATAACAGCTTAACAAAATGCTGTTAATTCATATATTTGTCTAAAATTCTCTTCATTGCTTTGCTGTAATTCGTGCTAGCAAGCACCAAACAGTTATTTCCCTCTGCAGAAGAAAAACACACCGAAAACTGTGCGCTAAATATCGCTCAGATATATCTACCTCGTTTGTCTAAACTAACCAGAATTCAAATATCCTACACAAAATCTAGCCAGTCCTGTCATCGCTTTACCTTATCAGATACTAGGGTTCCTTGCAAATTTCAGTAGCAATGCGCCATTTATGTAAGGTCATCACAATCTTCTGGGGGGCACGACCGGAAATGACAGACTTTTTAAATCCACCATCTTTATAAGGTCGGAATTAACGGGCTAGGCCGTCCTGCGTTGTATAAAGGTTTTATTATTTATATTATTATTGTTATAATTACTACTACTACTACAAAGTCACTACTGCTACAGGACAACTCTCATATAAGAAACAGGTACACACAATTAGGTCAAAATCAAATGGAGACGTTTTTCTTTTCAAAATAAAAGTCTCCACATTTAATTGTTTTCATTAATAGTAGGGTGGAAAAGTACCCCCAAAATTTAAGACTCCCAAACGCAGAACAAAGCGCAACAACGCTTTTCGTTTCGTTAAAGTTTCATATGAAATGGATGTTATATAAAGATAAAATTATAAAAATAAATAAATAAATTGCCAAGCTGAATGGGAGAGGCTACAGCAGAACTCAAAGCTCTGACTGTGCTGAATCCAACAGCATATATGCCTGTATCAGGGACAGGATGCATCTATCACAAGAGCCACTCTTTGGTATTTACCTTGCACATTAATTGAGTAAAATTGGTTGCACATATAAAAATGTGTCGGTCCTTTTGAAACAATTTTAGAAAAACATATTTCACAAAGCTACGATATAGTGACTATAGAGGGTAAAACAGATAGGAGTTGATAATGTTATTAACTTAATGCTACTGACTACTAAGGATGGTTCAAGTTGCAATTCAATGCATAGACACAAGGGCTGCCACGATTTGTCGACTAGTCACGATTACGTCGACTATCAAAATCGTCGACGACTGATTTAATAGTCGACGTGTCGTTTGAAGCTTTGTAAGATCGCAAAAGACGCAGGAATAATAGCAGGATTTAAGAGTGTAATAACGGACTGAAACAGAAGATGGCAGCACAGCATGTACAAGGATGCCAGCTGCCGTTAAACCCCGAAGAAGAAGAAGCAGCTGTGTCCCAGAATTCATAGCGCGGCCCAGCTTAGTTTCCAACAATGGCGGTAGCTAGTTAGTTTTAATATTACTCTTATTATTCTTTCTGGGTCACAAAATAAACGTTTAACATATTTTCAGGCGAGAATGTAGCTGTGTAAACCTCAAATATCGGCTCAGTTTATCAGGACACCACATATTTTCAAAAGCGCTCCGACGTTTTCGGAGACGTCTGTTACCCACTAGCTCGATAGCTAGCCGGGGGCTAGGTCACTAGCGCCGTGAGAACACCGGACTCCCGGCAAATTGTTTTCAAACCCACCGCCGTCTTTCGCGACTCAGGTTAAATATATATGAGTCACTTAGATAAATTAAAAATGTTGTTGTTTGGCTTTTTTTTTTTGTATTTTATTTGTTCCTGAGTAAATCGGTTTGGCTGAGATTAAAGTTATAGTTTTTACACAGCTGAATAAACCTCAAGCAGACAGCTGATTATCAGAAGTGTGAGATGCTGGAGAATATACTCCGGTGTCCTGTTATATTTTAGATAGCAAGGAGTTTATTAAACTTTACCGAAACAATCTGCAAATTTCATTAAAATTGAATAAACTATCATCTTGTCTTTATTTTTAGTTAGCACCTTAAAAGCTTAAAGCTGTAAGCTAATGATAGTTATATAAGAGCAGATGCTGCTGGTGCAATAAGCTGTAGTTTTACGTCCAGTGGATGATGATCTGATTAGTCGACTAATCGCATAAATAATCGGTGACTAGTCGACTATCAAAATAATCGTTTGTGGCAGCCCTAATAGACACAAAAAGGTCAGAAAGTTCAGTACAAAGCATAAAAACTTTATTATTCCTCATAGAACAAAGACTCAAAGACCATAAAATTATTTGATTACCAGTCAATTTTCAACATCTAATATCATACAAAAGTAATGTACAGTCAAATTGCAAATCCGGGATTTTCTTCACAGCCCTTGAAGTTTGCTGTGAAGAAGAAATAAGAAAACTGTTTAGTTTGAGCACAATCACCATTAAAACCACCATTGTCACTGTTAAATACACCAAAAACAAAGAGAGAGGAAAAACCCCACCTGTCCTCAACTGTCCTGTTGGATGGATAGTACACCTTGAAACTGAATCCACTTTTTGGGAAGGAACCCTGACAAAGTAAACAGGTTAAAAAAAGATATTGCTTACTTATATTAGAAGAAAGCATCCTCTATGATTTTCTGACAAAGAATCTGTCATTCATTCATACCGGGTTGACACAGAGGCAGTCTGTGTTAGTGATGCTGAAGGGGTCGTATTTGTCTGCGAAGACGATGACGTCAGGTACCGGGTAGACTCGTAGGGAAAAGTCATAGGCCCAGAATACAGGACTGACATACAGAGGCAGTGGAGTCAAGTGACCCTGGGATAGGATTGTCCTAACAAACTGAGAAGAGAAAGAAAAAGAAAAATACTACTATCACTACTAAAAGCTACTTTTTGCTTTAAAAATATTAGCAAAAAATGATTAACAAAGGCTTATAAACCTCTGACAACATGATAAATGCTGAAGTGATGATTCTTCCTGTATGAACAGGTTTGTTAAGAAAAGTTGAAACTCACATGGTTTGGAATGTCAAGATTGTTATTGGGCAATCGGACACAATTCCTACACATCTTGTTGACCAGGTCCTCTCTGATAATGATAATCTCCTGGCTGCAGTACTGAATCCTGTCAGAGAAATATGCATCATTACATTATGTGTCTGCATGGTTTTAACTAAAACTATTCAAAATCATATCTAAAACCTGTACTCCAAGCTTAATTAAACACACTAGCAGATACTTGTGCATCAAATAAGAGCCACATGTTTGTTTCACCTGCATGGATTAGTTGTGAACACAGAAAATGGCACTCTCTGTCTGAACTCCTCTGTGATGTGGTCTGCCAGGGGAGGTCTGAAACATAGTTTACCCACATTTGTTCAAACCACTCGAATCAAAATCTCACAGAATAAAGTTGAAATCTAAGCGTCTATTAAGGTTTACCGTGGCAGGATGGTGCCTGGACCAGGGTCTTCAGGACCGGGAACAAACACAAAGCGACTACTGCGGGTTTAAGATGAACACACTGAAACATGAGTAAGTAGAAAACAAAACAATAGCAGAACAGAGTGAAAAATCTATTAGAGCTTACCTGCTATGAATGCTGGGGTATGAGCATATAGCATCAGCAAGGGCTTTCAGTGACTCTAAAAAACAATAAACAAAATTAATAATAATAAAAAAAATGAGTAAAACCTCTGAAAACCTTTGTCTTTGTCCCTTTATTAAATTGTTCAGATGTTCTACAGATTTTAGCATTGACCGATTATATATGTATAGCTATTCAAAATATCCATCTAATCAGCCAATCACATGGTAGCAACTGAATGCGTTTATGCATGTGGAAGCATTTAAGACTTAAACCATACAACAGAATAGGGAAGAAAGGTGATTTAAGCAGATGTGATTGTTGGTGCCAAAAAAGCTGGTCAGAAACTGCTGATCCACTGGGATTTTCCCACAACCAACTCTGGACAAAACTGGCTTGTTTCCTGATGGGCAGTCAACAGTAACTCAAATAACCACTTGTTACAACCCTGTATCCTTAAGAGCATCTCTGAATGCACTACATGTCAAACCTTAAAGCAGACGGGCTACAGCAGCAGAAGATCTCTCTGATTGCTACTCCTGTCACCTAAAAACTGAACTGAGGCTACAATGGATTAAAATTGTATAACAGAAGATTTGAAAAATGTTGCCTGGTCTGTCGAGTCTCGATTTCTGCTGTGGCATCAACTTTAAATGCCACAGCCTACCTGAATATCATGCTGATCATGTCCACAGGGTATCCATATTCTGATGACTGCTTCCAACAAGATATGACTATGAAAGTGAGTTTACTGTACTCACATGACCTCCACAGTCACCAGGCCTCAATTCAATAGAGCACCTTTGGGATGTGGTTGAATGGGAGATGTCCAGCCAACAAATCTACAGCAAGTGTGTGATATTATCATGTCAATATGGACCAGAATCTCTGAGGAGTGTTTCCAGCAGCTTGTTATTCTTATCATTTTAAACAAATAACACTGGCTTGTGGCTCTTTATTCACTCTCTGTTTCCTATAACAGTTAATGACTTGCACAGCAGCCATATTTGCTCCATAAATAACGTGCACTGAAGTATGAGATGGTCAGAGTATGCAGTATGTCAGGGGCACTAATGTTTTCATTCCACGGAGGAATTTTTTGAGGACACACACCAGGATTCAGACACCAAAATAATAGCGGACAGCAGAGGACACGTCGTTTCACAGCTGTCTTGTTTAAATAAACATTCCTGGAATTGTCACAGGACATACGTGACAGGAAATCGCTGTGCTTACGTTCAGCGTGAGCTCCATATCACGGCCAGTCAATTGATCCATACAGTGTTTACACAAAAAACTATGTCAATAAAATTTTAGAGCATCTGTCAAAACTCACAAGCAGAGATTTCAAGATGTTCAGTGTGTTATGAGACTTTACCTTTGAGTGATTTGAGCTGTGTCTTCCCATACGGGGCAGAAGAGAAGTTTCCACAGAAAATGAAGCAGGTGGGGGGCATGGCAGCATATCCTGCAATTTAGAAATGACATCAAAAATGTTACTGGTGTCACGCAAAAGTGTACTGTTGACTTGTAAAGTTCACTATCAGACCTGAGAACATGATGTTGAGCTTTTCCATCACTTCCACACTGTCCAGCCAGACATCGGAGACGATAACAAACATGGCGTCTTCATTCTCCTCTTCCAGCTGCTTCAACTTTGCGGACGTTTTCACTGAAGTGGCAGATGGACCTCCAAAAAAGTTAATGTTTCCGTAGTATGCTCTGGAAATAATATAACAATTACACCAAGGAATCAGAATCATTTTCTGGGGACCTCATATAATAGAGCTATAGTTATCAAGGAATTCAAGTAAAACATGAAATAATACTGTGGACCCAAGCAGGACAGCCCAAATCCACAATTGCTCATCGTGTTCTCATAAGATGCTGTTTCTTAACAATCCCCTGATGGTAACTGAATTAAAATTATACACTTTAAAAGTTTCCTAAAAAAACATTTTTAAGTCCTGCATTCTGACTACAATAAGGCTGGGGAACTAAGCCCTCCTGTAACATACTGTGACTGTATTCAGTCTTTATAGTCTGCTGTTGAGAAGTGTGATCTTGGCATGTCTGTGTAGCTTATAATGACGATGATCTCCAACTTAAAGAGTATTTGCCTTCATATTAATTCAGTGGCATTTTCACAAATTAACAAGGAAGACAAGTTAAACTGACTTCACTTCACTGGAAGCTCCTTAACTTTTAGTCTGAACATGATCTCACACACACAGAAACTCATACTTTATACTAGAATGTAATGTCAAAATGTATATTTTGTAGTACAACTACTCTTCCTCTGACCTTGTGGCTGATGAAGGCTCTGTTGGTGGGAACCCGAAACCATTGACGTGGAACACAGAGTCCTCGTACCAACCTAGAAAACAAACCGTGAGTTGCAAATTCACAAATAGGCTTGGATGTGTGTATAAAATCCACATTTTGCCATTTTTACTAGAGTAATTATCTTACCTTCTGCCAGTACAAAGCAGGATTCTGTGTAGAGGCCATTATGAAACTGGTGAGAGTGGAGGTAAGGAATTTATCTTTTATATTCCATGTGATTTTGCATAATATGAAGGACTTTTATTAACATCAAAGGATATTGCTTTGGACAAGTCCAGCTGTATTGTTCCACTTGGGTCCTCCAGGTAAAATTTACCCTGAAAAGAATGGTTTTCAAATGTTAAATGAACCAGATTAAACAACAACAACAACAACAAAATCCTCAAACTGAACATAAAGTCACAATTTTCATCGCATTCAGTGAAATGGAAAACAAAACAAAACATAATCTCTTATATTTATCTGGATCACTAACCTCTTTCAGTTGTGTGATCATACCAAGTACAATCACCTCTCCCAGTTTAGCTGTGCTACCAAGCAATGCTTCAACCGTCTTCAGCTAGGAAACACAAATAATGCTAAAAATGGTTAGTTAAATTTGTTTTGTTTTTTTAAATAGCTGACATGAGGTAATACACGTTTAACACAGTGTCCATTACAGTAGCTTAGATGTGATACCTGAAATTTGTTTTGACCCTCTTCAACAGCAGCTCCTATCGCTGGCGGGGTGAAGAGTTCATGGCGATGTGTTCGCTGCAGAAATGAATACGACATGCACACTATACATATTAAAAATGGCAGCAAAGACAGCAGGTCAGCCTGGAATCATGAGACAGATTTTACTGACTTGCTGAAGGATTGTATAGCGCTCCCTGAAGAGTTCAGCTTTTTCTCTGGCCAGGCCACACAGACTGGGGGCTGGATGACTGGTCATACTGATGCTGGATGGAAGTCAAAAGTCAAAATAAAAGCTTTACAATCTTTGCCAGACACACTGCGGTCTGCAAAACGGCAGAAACATTTATATTTAAACAATAATTTACATTAACTTTAAAACAAAAGAGAAAAAAAAAAAAACCAAAGTTGTTTTACTCACGGTACAAATTTCTTCCTCTCCACACTGTAAATGTATCTGGGCACATCAAAGGCTCCAATTATGTTGAAAACATTATCTCTGGAAGGGACGACTCATATAAGTAAACAAGTTAATCCCAACCTTACTCTACAAAGAACCTGCAACTGAATGATTTCTGTCCCAGCATTTAGTTTTTACCGGCATTCATTATATTAAAATGCTTTATGATCAATTAATTAAGCATACTGTGTCAGCTTCTACATGAGTAATAAGTCCAGTGGATATTTCATTTCAGTCGATGTACAAAGGACACCCCGAGTCCTTCCAAAAATATTAGAACAATGCTATTTTTTTAAACTTACATTGTTTCGTCACAAGTTTGAGTGCAATCCTGCACGGCACTTTCCACCACGGACATCTCGATCATGCTGGAGGACACTGCGCGAAAAATCAGTACAGTCACAGTCTGAAAAAACTCACATGGGAGCACAAACATAGGAGCACACAACAAGCTGTACTGCACTCACATGGCTGTTTTTCCACTGCATCCAAGACCCTTTCAATAATATCATCAAGTTCAGAATGACTGACGGACTCCAGCACCTCTACAAGGTACCTGCTGGCCTCACTGGAGCGCAGAACAAGAAGAAGCCAATCAACAAATAAATAAACAAAGATAACAACTACATGACTAAACACGGTCCAACTACATCGAATTATATGTGCACATCCAATAAAAATGAAGTCTAACAAAAGTGTAAAAAGCTTTCTTTGTTCGTTTTTAAAAACATTTTTTCTGTATTTAATAAGGCAAAATACAGAAGGCTTGCACAGCGAGCTGCCTGTTCGTAACTTCAAGATGAAACAAAAGACGTCGTTGTGTTTTCGAAAGTTTTCAAAGCAGAAAAAAAACATTTTTATCTACACAAGAATACATACGGGCGCAGTATAAGTCCTCTCATCTTGAAGCCAGAAGACACTTTCGTCTTTATTCTGCGTGCAACATCCATGATTATTTCTGCTCCGACTCAAGCTTTGGCGCTAAATGTCAACTTCCGCAAACTTCCGCAAGTGTCGTCACTTCCGTCTTAGGGGCCGCCTCTATTTTATTAAAAAAAGCGAACTTGAAAACAAATCTGCCGAATCATTTTCACAAAATTATGTTTTTTTTGACTGTGAGTTTCTCTTTTAAGTCTATTCTAATTTCCATTATTGTGTTTTTTTAATACAGGCTAAAGATGCATAAAACATCACCTAGCTTTTTAAGGATAAATTATTTATGAATAACAAAAATAATAGCAATAATAACAGAAGTTATCAAAACGAAGCGCAAAAGGTGTTACATTGTTTATATTGTATATTTCTTAGCATGTTAATAGTGATTTGACAAAACAGAATACAATTACTCTATCACGTGTCACCTTATATTTTACTGCCATTTATAGACTGTGATAATTATATAAAACATAGTAGTTTCATTATTTGTCAGTAAGCTACCATAGTGAACCATACGTTAGTAATTGTTTATTGCCACAAATTAACTGTATCGATGACACAAACAATTCTGCTCCAAAACTGTAGATTTGTCTCATGGTATTTTTTGATTTCGAAATTGATTTTGGAAAATATTTGTTTGTTTGGCCTTAATTCAAGTTTATAAAAAAAATCCTTTTGAATATATTACTGACTATATAGTGTAATTAGTCATAAGTACTGGTTATTAGTGCTTATGAATGGATGGACAGAGAAACTGTCCATGTTGTACAAGCTGAACAACTGTGCCTTTCTGGGTCTTCTTTTGAAACAAACAAAACCAAAACAAAGATCTATACAAAAATAAATAAATAAATAACAAGACAAAATGCTGTCCAAGAGTAAAATTCTTGGCTTAATATCTCGAAATTTTGACTCAATAACTTCAAAATTCCGAGTTATTGTGAGATAAAAATAAATAAATAAATAAATAAATAGAAATTTTATGCTGGAAGAGGTTCACCGGAAGTAGTATTTTATTTTGTAGCTGTGTTTACAGTATTTGGCACCGAGGCTTTCTTGTCCAAAATATGTAGGTTTAAAAACATGAAGAAATAATATCCGACAGCTAACAGCGCGTTGCGTCCCGTGAGTATGCACTAAGTATGGTTATTTAAACGTTAGTTTTTCAGTGTTTTTGTACTGTGGTTATGTATTAACCTGTTCCGAGCTTTTGTCGGTTGAATTAGTAGACTACCATTTTTTTCTTTTCGCATACCCAAATAATATTTAGCATAAACCGAAGACAGTAGGATGGTTCGAGTTTCTACTCACAGTTAGCTGTTGCCTTTGTTCTCGTAAATACATATAGTTGAGCATAGGTGAGACATTTAGACATTTTTTCCTTTTTTGTGTGATTTTTAGGTTCAAGTGCATGCCTTCACGTCTCTGTGTGTAAATAGCAGTCAGTTATGGATTCCGCCTTTGAGAGGCACTGCTCGGAGCTGGTCGCCCGGGAACGAAGCGGACATACTGCTGTGTTGCATGACAATCTCCTGTATGTGTGGGGAGGCTATATGGTGAGAAAACACTGAAACATAAAAGACACAAATGACAAGGAAGAGAAGGGAAATTTCTCCAGTACTGTATTAAACATGTGATATTTAAATGGTGGCATTAACTGTATATGCCAATTTATACCTAGTAAAATTAAAAATAAAAATACATTCATAAATAAATGAGGACTGCTGTGCATTATTATATGTAACAGCTTCTTGCTTTTTTTTTTTTGTTTTCATTTCCCAAACCACATGACCTAACTCCACCGCCTGCACCTGTATTATAATGCTTCTTATATGTTAATAAGTCAGTAGTGATTAAACATCTGTTAATATAAAATATTTTTTTTAGTTTAATTTAATTTCGTTTTGTTTTTCATTTCTGACTCAAACACCTGACACTTCTCTGGAGACAGATGAAAATATAAAAATGAAATGAGACGTTATGCTAAAGTGCTTAATTTATTTAATTATTTTGTTCTTTCCAGTCTGTTGCTGAGGAAGAAGTTTTCTTACCTAATGATGAAATCTGGGTGTATGAACTAGACGCAGGTATTTGGTAAGAAGACTGAAAAAATTCCTGCTTGCTTCTGTTTGCAAAACAAAAAATACCAATGCCTGTTAAGCCCTGACTTTCACTCTGTTTTTCAACTCGTGGAAATTGTGTTGGAGTCATATGACATTTCAGCTATGTTTGAACTTACAAGCACTCTCCTGGGGCTGTTTGACTTCTGAGTTGTGAGTGAATATAAGCAGTTTTTCTGCATTTTTCTTTTCTTTTTCCATTTTTCTGAAGGAAGGTGTGTCACATGGATGGGGACGTCCCTCCCCCCATGTCTGGGACCTGCAGCTGCTACATGAATGGACACATGTACATATTTGGAGGTTGTGATGACAATGGACAGACCAATCAGGTTTGACTAATATCTGAGGAAGTGACTGTTAATGACACGTGTTTTTTTTGTAAACATAGTTATGTTTACATTGTGTGAATGCTTAAGGTTTAGCAAGCACTCCCGATGCTTTCTTTCCTTATGTAAAATTTGCAGAGATAGTGTTTTAAAAATAATGTACATTTTATGTTTTTTGTGTCCATGATCAGTAGCTGGAAGTATTGATCATTTAAAGATTACTCTGTAGTGCCTCTAGTGGTCAAAAACTCCACATAAACCTTATAATGTTGTGCGAAACAGAAGTATCTATGGGCATGAACTTAAGGTGGAAAGACCGGAAAGACGCTGAAAGAAAATGTTAAATGTTGATAAATAAATGCAGCAAAGAGATAAAGGAATGAAGATTTGATCAGTGTTTCTCATCCTACAGATGTACGGCGTCAACCTGGAAGATGGGAAATATACATGGAAGAGGATAATGCATGAATTTGGCTCAGCCCCCTCTCCCCGAGACAAATTGTCCTGCTGGGTTTACAATGGACGGTGAGCACAGTGAAATTTTAATCAAGTTTAATTTTCAGCATTTTGTTACCACATAAATCACTACAGGAAATCAGTAGTTGTGAACTAAAATCTATTTTTAAGATTACTTGTCAAAAACTGGTACTAAAGAAATTTTGAGGATTAGATACTGAATTTTCCCCGCATGACGCTGGTTTGGAAAAGTGAAAGAAAATGGACAGATAAATAGATAAATTAGGTTTCCGTGTCTTTTTCATTTTTTAAATTGAATGCTGGGTGTTTGATCTTACTTTGATACATGAAGTGAAGAGGCTATCCATGTGTCTTTGTTTCCTGCACCAATTTCCGAGCAGATTTGGATGTCCACACAATCAACATTTTTTGTTAACAAGTTAATCTTGTAATCTTGGTTTTACTGTTTTTGGATTTGACGTTAAATCCAGGTTTTGTCAGGCTTTCAACATCTTTTTAGCATTCTTTATCTTAAAGTCATCATCCGAACAAAAACACAACCTGTGTTGAGTTTTGAAAACTATTCAGCGTTACGTCTGTTCTTGATTGGATGTATAATTTTATGTTAATTGGAAATTATTTTTTTGTGTGATATTTTTCCAGGCTCGCCTACTTTGGTGGTTATGGTCACAAACTACTGAGTGATCTCGACCGGAGGAGTGGAAGCTTTATTGTGGATGAAACTTCATGGGTAGGTTTTTTGTTACTCACTACAAGTCTGTTAGCTGTCTCTGTGAGATTTTTTTGAAGGTTTTTGTTAGAAAAGTTAGCTTCTTTACACCTGCTTAGCTCTTTTGTTATTGCCAGGTGGGAGATGTCTTTTGGGGATGGAACAATGAAGTTCACATATTTGACCCCATGCAGTCCAGCTGGAGTGAACCGCGGACCCACGTGAGTCAGTTTGAGATTAATTCATGCTGGTATTGACTGAAGTCAGGAATTTCATGTGTGGGATTTTTCCCCTGATGCTATAAAACTTTAATTAGTAACTTCACAAGTGGAAATATAAATAAAAGATAATTATTAAGACCTAAGGCTAGGCATGTTTGACTGTTGCTCTCAAAATGTTCCAAAATTGAGCACATGCAATCTTTATACAACACTTTGATGAGACAGTGTATAAGAAATGTGGAACATCTTTGACTGTAGCTCCTGCAGGGCATGCTTACACAGCTGAACAGAAACAGCTGATGCAATATTTCATCATCACCTATGCGTGTTGTTCTTATCCAGTGCAATCTGTAAGAAATGCTACCATGTACAGTGTGAAAAAGGGTTTGCCCTTTTGCTGTTTTTTTTGCATATTTGATTTACTTTCATATTACATGATCGTCATTACAGATCATCAAACAAATTGGAATTTCAGACAAAGATAACCAATGTAAATGCAAACGGCAGTTTTTAAATTATGATTTCATTTATTAAGGGAAAAAGGCTATCCAAACCTACCTGAAAAACAGAATTTTCCCCTTTTTAAAAAGGAGTTAACTGTGATAAACCGCAATCTGAGTTCAATTTCACTATCAAACCCCAAGACCTTTAGACCTGTTGGCTCAAGAAATCACTGAAATATAGTCTGTCTAACAAAGTGAAGTTGGCTAAAAGATCTCAAAAAGCTACAGAAACAACTGAAAAGTCAAATTATTGACATATGTCAGTCTAGAAAGGGTTGAAAAGCCATTTATAAGGCTTTGGGAATCCAGTGACCCACGATGAGAGCCATTATACACAAACGGAGAAAACTTGGAACAGTGGTGAACCTTCCCAGAAGTGGACAGCTGACCAAAGTTACTCTAGGAGCTCATTGATGACTCATCCAGGAGGTTAGAACAGAAGTCACAAAAACATCTAGAGATCTAGAGAGAGAGGCCAGCCTCACTAGCCTCAGTTAGGAGTTCATGATTCAACAATAAGAAAGAAACTGGGCAAAAACAGCATTCATGGGAGACCTCCAAGGAGAAACTTGATGAGCTCAAAGATGTTTGGTAAAATATTCTGTGAGACAAAAGTTTAACTTTTTGGAAGGTTTGAATTCCTTTACATCTGGCATAAAACTAACACAGCATTTCAATACAGAACAGTCAAAAATGGTGGTGGTAGTGTGATGGTCTGGGGACTGGGATGACTTACCGAAATTAATGGAGAGCAGATTGAGTAGAAAATGTCAGATCATCAGTTTTGTGCACCAAAGCTCAAGCATACTTGGGTTATGCAGCAGGGACAATGATCACATTAGAAAGTCTTTCACTGAATGGCTAAAAAATAAGTAAATGAAACAAAATCAGGTAGTACATTTCTGTGTTCATAATGCTATCTATTTTGAAAACACCATTGGTTGAAATGCTCTTAGACACTCAATGTTGTACAGAAAAGGTAACTTTAACTTTCAGAAAGTCTGGAGAACTCATCAAGAACTTTAAAAACAATTCCAATAACATCTGGGTCCCTGGAAGCAAAAAAATAAAGAAATGTTGGAGTAGCCTGAGACTTTTGCACAGTACTATACACTGTTTTTGCTTGCAGGGCCGAGCTCCTGCTCCAAGGGCAGCCCATGGCAGTGCTGCGCTCGGTTACAGAGGATACATTTGTGGAGGTAGAGTTATGGTAAGAGTCCCAGTTGGTTTTCGATGTAGTGTTTATGGATGCATGTTGTGTTGATCAGAGAAAGTTACTTGTGCTGTTTTTTAAATGCAGGAAACCAGGACAAATGACATCCATTGCTTAAACCTTGAATCATGGACATGGTCAGAAATGTATGTAGCCATGTGTCATTGCTATACTGTACCTTGTCATGTGGTGTATGCAGAACCTGAGCTCACAGTGAGTTTTTAAGTTAACTGTGTGTATCATGCCAAATCGGTTTTCCAGAATCCCGTTGTCCCCAACTCCGGTGGGGAGATCATGGCACACACTCACAGCAGTATCAGACAACACCTTGTTCCTGTTTGGAGGTCTGAGTGTTGACTGCAAACCAATGAGTAAGAAAATGCATCCTCTTATTCAAGTTTATTTCCTTTGCTGCTTTGGTCCTTTTATGTCCTCTAGTTGTTTTCTTCTTAGTAAAACAAACCTTGCTCGATTAGGTGATGGGTGGTTGCTTGATGTCGAAACAAAGAAGTGGAAAGAGTTAGAGCATCCCTTTAAGAATAAGCCAAGGTAACAACTTATGAATGTAATATTTATTACTCTGAACAAACGTTATAAAGCGTTGCTGTAAACTGTGATCAGATTTTAAGTGGTACCTTCTCCTGTTTAAGGTTGTGGCACACAGCTAATCCAGGCAAAGATGCTGATGTGATTGTGTTTGGTGGAAGTTGTGACTACATCTTGCTTGTCGACACTGTAAGTATCAGAGGGAGACGCATGTAGAAGCTAAAAACAAAGGTGAAGTTAGTTTAATTTTCCACGTCTTTGGAAATCATGACACAGGTGCAACATGAAAACTATGTTTTTGTTTACATGTATGTTATGTAAAATTTAAACAGGGTTTACTCTATACTGCAGGGGCTTGTACTTCGAAGCAAGTTCAACGTGCACAGTTATCATTTGCTTATCTGGCTTCACTTCCACTGACACAAACAAAGGTGGTAATTAACCAAGTCAACCCAGCGCTTCCAAGCTATGACATGAAAGACAACAATCGTAGACATGGACAAGTCTGCTGGTAGCACAGTGGCATATTTCAGAAAGAAAGGGCAAACTTTTTCTTCATATTAGGAAAATATGAAAAATCTGAACATATAATATCGGCTAAAGGTGACACAAATGCAGCCGAAGCAGCACTGTGTAAGTGGGTTTGAATGGCTGCAGCCAATGCAAATTAGAGCTTGTTTTTGACGATCTATGTTTTTTATTAATGCTTATAACAAAAAAACATAGACTTTAAACAGTCTTTTTAAACTATAGATCTGCCTTTACATGGGCTCTTCCAGGAATGGTGACACTGTTTTCCAGAGAATTGATTTGTGATCAGGTGGTATTTTTGTACTGTTTATCTCTTAACTGAAACATAACCTGCAGAGCAGGTCAGAGTGCTATATGAGGTAGCAAGTTCAACACAGCTATATCAGAGGTTAGTTAGTTTGTCTGCAGATCAAAGTGAAGCAGGTTTTATTGATTGAATAAGTGTTCCTGGTTATAAAAAGCCTGAACAGTTTCTGCTCTGTGTTCTAGTAGCTGCAATTCCAGATGTGTAAACGAGTGTTAGCAACTGATTAAAATCGAGTATAAAATATTTGTAAAATTTCAGAATCACCAGAATTTACATTTCATTTAATGCTTTATTACTTTGAGGCTCCTGTATTTTAATTCATTATTATCAGGTTGCCCCAAAAGCTCCCTGAAAAGCCAATTGATCCAAAGTGGTGCAGAGAGTGTACTGACAGGGACTTGAAAGAGAGACCATATTTCTCCCTTATGAGCTGCCCTATATTGGCTCCCTTCTAAATTTCCCCTCTCCCTCTTCTGGTCATGGTGGAAGGGTCACCCCTCCCTACGCCTGGTTTCTGTCTGAGATTTCTTCTTCTTAAAAGGGAATTTTTCTTTCCGACTGTCGCCACATACTTGCTCATAGAGTGTTGTGGGATTGTTTCTAGTACACTAAGTACTTTATATAAATAAAACTGAAGCAAACTGAATTAATAGAATAGGGAAAAAATTGGAACTTTATGATGATTTCAAACCGAACATGTTCCTGTCTGGGTGTTTTCAACATAGATTACTAAAAAAGTCAGCCCATTTCGAGACTTCGCAAATTAACCCATTAATCCTGATTTGTAGTACTCCCCTTAGGTCTGAAGTACAAGTTACCGTGGCAGTGTACCCTAACATGAAGTGAACTGCCTTTCTAACACTGAAAACTCAGCGTTAACCATGAAGTTAACTAAGCCCTTAATCTTGCTTTGTAAGGCATCAGGTCTCTTTCTCTCTACAGAGCAGTCTACACCTGACAATGAGGCATTAAAAAACCTACGGAAAATGTTTGCTAAAGGAACTGATCTAATGAACATAGTTTTGTGAATAAATGAAGACTACAAATATGTCTATGGATGTGAACCTATGTAAACCTTGTGCATTTCTTTTCAGGGTCACTGCAATGATGCACTTGTTTTTCAGACGCAACCATATCCCCTGTTTAGGTAAAAAAACTTTCTGTGATACCTTTACCAGCAAGATGTCAAAAAACTAAGGCAAGAAAAGTAAAAGCGAGATCCCTTGTACGACACAGAGCATTGCAGCACTTATTAAGTCCGATGCAAAATGAATAGGATGTAAAGTGGGATGGAGGCGGAGTTTTCACAGGCGCCATCAGCCTTGCCTGACCTACCGTGATTCTCACTTTATTGCTACAAACAAGTTTGTCCTGCAGCAGCTCTGTTAGAGACAAGTAAAATATCTGCTGTCCTAAGTATCTGCTGCTTTGTAGGGCACGTTACTTTAAATATGCATTCGTCTCCCAAAATAGAAATGAGAATTGACAGGCTTTTTTTTCCTCCTCCTGACAGGATTTGTGAGGATTACATTGCAAAGAATGTGAGAAACAACGAGGTGCTCCGAAATCAACTTCCTCTCCTGCCTCGCAAGCTACTGAAGCTCTTACAGAGAAGGATCTCTTTCTACAGGCCTTCGAAAAAGCAAATGACTAGCTAAAAAGACCTTGAATGCCATGCTGTTTAAAGTGCTATATTTCTCCTTTATTGTTTTACAAATTAATATTTTATTTTGTACAGTCTGCCTACAGTCCCTGCGATGACTGCGCTGAATAAATGACAGATTGACACTTTGATTTGCCTGATGCAGATTATTACAATACGCAGATAACTCAGTCAGCAGAACAGAGCAGCTACAGACACGTTTTCTCCCAGAGTAGTCACATGACCAACAACTCGACATTTTCTGCTTTTTTATTTCAAACACACACAAAAATTTTTTAACTCTGCTTCCAAATTTTCATATTGGAAATTTCCTCTAAAAAGTTTGATAAAATTTCACGTTTGTATTCATGCACACAACTTCTGCATTCTGCCACTAAGTGGCAGCAGGCTTTTATTTTGAAGTGTTTCAATGGCTGAATTGTGTCAGCAGAAACAGACTTTGCCCAACTAAAAGTCTCTCTGTAGCCACATTCTCGCAGGGTGGAGAAAGTGCAGGAGCTGCGGTCAGGAAGGAAATGTTAGGTAAACATTCTCTGCTCATACCTTGGCAGGGTTTGCTACATGAGAAACTTAAGCCCTGAACACTTTATGCTCACACAAAACCGCTGGTGGAAACAAGTCCATCTTTACTGCTAAAAGATCACAAGCATGTACCTCTCCTGCTGACATTTACAGAACTGGCAGAAAGGGTCTGTGTTGTCTCATTAAACAGACATGTTAAACCATGTTAGTAATAGGTAGCAAATGAGTGCTCAGTAGGAGTCGAGCTGGACAGTAACACCCTACCTGCTTCAGAAACCCAACCCTTGTGAGTGTGAGGAGAACTTCCTGGCACATATTCAAGCTGGTGTTTTAACTCTGCAATTACTGCTGCATCTTGTTAAATAAGACTTGGCTAAATGCACAGACTGGGAGTGATGCTGTTTTAAGTTCAACACAGACTGTGTTCATTATTTTTTTCCTGGCAACCCTGCATAAATATAGATTGTGCAGCCTTTCCAGCAAGCAGGAAATTTGTCAGAATAAACCCTGGTTCCCTTTCTTTGAATACAAACGGTTTCCTGTCATGAGAGCTTGCTAAAAGAGCTTTCTTAGCTCGGAGGGTCAACTAAACTCTCTTTCAATGGTATCCATCAGCTCCTCTTCTGATCCATCGTACAGGATGACTGGCGTGGTGAGAGAAGAGCCATGGCAGCTATCAAACGTCCTGGGAAATGTAGAGACCCACATCAGGAAGGTGAAGATTACAAACAGAAAATGTGACACATATTTAAACAGTTTAACCCAACGCTCAGAGTGTAGAGGCCCAAACAAAACAAAACTAACAAAACAAAAATGGCGCTGTGAGAAAGTTGGAATAAAGTTGGAAATATGAATGTTTTTCTTTTTGGCATTCTTCAACAATAGACACTTGTCTGATTCTCCCCTGCTTGCAAACATCTGGCGTATCTGATACGCTCTGAGAATAATGGATTTGGTATTTCGATTCCTTTAAGGTGAATTTGATCTGGCTCTGCGCATTTTTCCTCCACTGAGGTCAGGAATGAATAATTTATTTAAGTTGCCTACTTACGGTTGTTGTTCTGATGTGGGGACGTCTTCCGACAAAGCCTCTGTTGTCAAACAGCCCTGTGAGGAGGACTGACATAAAGCAGAGAGGGAAGGATGGATATTATGTGTTTCATTCAATAATAACTCGCGGTTATTGTTACTTTAAAAGCATACTTTTGTTCTCATAAACTGGATTACAATCTGGCAAAAGTACTTAAAAGTAGAAATTTAAAAGTCCTTACATTGTGCTCGGTGGTACACCCAGATGTGTGCTTTTTAACGTGTGCGAAGGCAGAGTTGCCCTTCTTGTTTACATCTCTTGACACACTGTGTGCGACACGTGGCTCTTGGTCTCTTCCTGACGCTCGGAGCCTCGGAGCAGAGCTGAAGTCGTCTTCAGCGTCCTCCTGGCTGAAATGACACAGTCCGTATGTTTTGGATCTGATGAACGTCTTCTTCGGAGGGGTCTTCTTTACCGAAGCGCTCTCTCTTTCTGTGTAATCTGCCATAACTGTGTCCAGTTCTCCATCAATATCCTCCTCATTCCCAGAAAAGTCCGAATCCTGCCCTTCGCTGTGGCAGTCAGGTTGCGCGCGGTTACGCACATTGCGCAAAACTGAGTGAATTTTAAGAGGCTTGAACAGACGGCTGTCCTTTTGAGGTGAAGCGACATCGGTCCCCGTTTTGGTCACGTTTACCTCGCTGACACAAGCAGGTGCGACTCTTTTTCCTCGGCTTGTACCCGAGCCCATGTCCGTGTGTCTGGGCTGCTAGTGTAGTCTCATTTCCAAATTGCTCCTGAGGCACGGCAAGCGCTTTTGCAGTTGAATATTAACCAACAAAAGCGTGGTCCTTGGCAGTGGTTAAGGTCAGTCTTCAATTAGTTTTACGATAGGAAGGCAGTTCTTTGGCAAAAAACGAAGCTTTTCTTTAAAATGTTTCTACAGACAGGTTGTTAAAATAAACGGCAGTAAACTTTCGAGTAACTCCAAATCAAGATGAGAAACTGTGTATCCCTTACATAACCAAGTTTGGCTCAGGACCCCAGGGAGAAAACTCCGCCTTCTTATAGGGGGAAACACACATCCTCCATTGTGTCTACTGCTAAAAAAAATAACATCTGCCTGTGTATTCTCATGGATTTAAGCAACCAATCCCCAAAAAAGGGAAATATACGTAAATATTCACGTGTTCCCTTTAATGATAGGGAGTCATTTTGAAAGGCTAACAGGAAGAATTAGTCCAATTTGTCTGTATCAGAAACATGACCAGCCTATTTCCCTTCTTCACCTAATAGATTTTATTGGGGCCAACAGTGAGTGAATTCCTGTCACCCTGATGCAGGAGCCCCCCTCCTCCAGTGAATGATTAAGATTAAAGTGCTGGACCATGAGAGAGGGCATTCCTTTCCAACAGCTCAGGCTTCCCAGAGATTCCTCAATAAGCTTTTGTTTGGTCCACTTGCGCATACAAAAGACATGACAGGAGCACCTCAGTGCCAAAGCTGTCCAACAAAAACCCAGAGTGCACCAAAGCAAAGAAAAAAAACTTGTTTGCCATCTTTCATTAAATGCCTCATTTTCTCTCTCTCTTTTCTTACTTGTGTGTGTGTGTGTGTGCACATGCAAGTGTGTGCCAGACAGCTGTGCAACCTGTTCTCTCTGGAGGCTGACCAAGTCAAAGACACCTGTCGTTTAGGAAATTGGCAATGTGAGAGTAGAAAAAAAGCAAGTCGGCCTGCAGGTCTCAAATGTCTCATTGAGGAAATTCCTGTCTTGGTCACTGATTATTAGAGAACACACGCAGCATGTCGGCAAATCTTACTTAACCTGCAAACTTTTAAAAGTAAAATGATACTGAAATATAAAAATAGCTCTTCTTCCATACACTCTCAGCTGCAGTTAGCTACATCTCATCATGACAGAAGAGCCTGTGTGGCATCCTGATCACATTTACAGTAGTATGAAAACCTCCTACTACTGACTCTCTCCATTTCAGTGATGCTATCCAAAGATTGGATAATCTCAGAGATTGCCTTTTAGGGGAAAAAATGGAGATTCAGAGCTAAGCTGGAAAACTGAGACATCTTCCCGATTGTGCAATAAATTGCATGTATACTGCAGATGTTGCCTCTCTCTCCCAAATGTAAATTAAATCTCCTTAAATGAAAATAAGTCTTGTTTTTCGACAGTAGTCAAACATAAAACTTAAACAACAAGCTTACTTTCCAGCCCTGCTTCTCGAGCAGTCTCGTTTATGTTATTTTCAACCTCTACTTCTGTTAACTCTCCGCCTGCACTGCACTCTGGTGTATCATTAAAGAGATCGGGCCGCCACATCTGGAGAAAAATTCAACAGCTTCCAGACGAGGGGGAGGATCTGCCACAAAATAGAAGCCACGGCCCAGCTCGCTACATAACTGTGGTTTTTCTTACTTCTTCCAGATTCAAGAATATTTCTCCAGTATGGATGAAGTTTAAAAGACTGGGAAAAGCATTTATGAAACGCTGACCTTGGATTTAGTTTAGCTTTGTACATCATATCCTATGCAAACTCTGAATCAGCAGACATGTGAGTTGTTTTTGCAGTGCTGTGGAAACAAACGTCCTTTGTTCCCTCCCAACAACAGAACATCATATGTGAAAAATGTTAATTATTATGACTCAGCTGCTCCATTTGGAGGACAACAAATAAAAGCATTGTTGTTGTGTTTGAGTAAAAAAGGAAACAAACTGCCATATGTTTGTAAAAAAACAACAACCCCAAAACCAAATCTCTGGAGAGTATTTAACAAGCCAGCTGCCCGCTGATAGGCATTCCAGTAAAACTGCCTGGACCTCTTTCCTCAGTAGACAAGCATTAATAGGACAGGGTCAACAGGATCTACACACCACAACATTGTAAAGCAATTTATTCCTTCTTATTTTTTCATAGCCTAAATGATGTCTTAATGGGGACCACATTGAATCAGACCCTTTTCTTTAATAGAAAAAAATATGATTATATAAATATTTCCCTACAGCCTCACAAAAGACCACACCCGTCTTTGGCAAGACCACGTCATATAAATTGATTCATCATCACGATATATAAAAAAAAAATCCTCTTTTTTATATAACTTCAGATTTTGCCTCACAATAATCAGATCCAGACTTCCTTCAGTGACAGAAAAATCCACATGTGTATATGGGATCTTATGCCAACATTTCCAACATAAGCAAAATACTGAGGCACTGTTATGCTTTTACTGTTTTAGAAGTAAATTTAATAGGTTTAAAGTATAGCCTAAACAAGTGAACCAAACGCACTTCTTAGTTGGATGCCTAGGACTTGGTTAAGGGGCTAGAAAATATATCACACTGCTGAATGTTCTCACAAAGATAGACAAGAAAATGTGTGTGTGTGTGTGTGGTGAGCAGGTCTTACTCATGTTGTGGGGACCTCATTTTGTTTACATTGTTACATTCTGGGCACATGGCTTCCTTTCATGAACATAAACAAGTCGCTATAACATAAATCCTTAAATTTAAAGGTGACGGCATGCCTTAAGGTTAAGGTTAGGGATGTAGTAGTTCCCTAGATTAGAGTAAGTCTGCAGGAAATGAATCCAAGGCCATATAATGCCTCTGAAGTCATGGATAGATTACAGATTTTCTACAGGGAAAGGAAGCCAAATTGGTTCACAGTCAGATAAAAGGGCCGTTCAGGGTCACATACTGTAGACGTAATCAGCTGAGCAGATGAGCGGAGCTGAGACAGAGGGATATTGTAACTTTCACAGGGTGACATAAGGTTGTCAGGGCAACAGTTAGTGCAACCAAGAGGAGTTGAAGTGCAGTAAAAGAACAAGGAGCGTCTGTATTTATCTTTGAGCTCTTAATCTGCTACATTACCAAGCATAAATTAAAGCGTTTGCTTTTGTGATAGCGGTAAAAGTACGTCACAGAGATGAAGCGGCGACAAGCCTGCAAACCTTTAAAGTTAACGAATTCTCCTTAACATAAGAGTCTGACAGGTCGCTGTAAGGGAGGACTGCCTGCTGATATCTAGAAGTGGTGAAACTGTAACCAGCAGATGGAGCTAGTATTCAACAAAAGCAAATTAGGGTGTCTTCCATGCCGATCCATGCACAGGACAAGTTGTTACTCTTCATGAGCTAAATGCATTTTTTATTTTTAAAAAGAACAAAAAGAAAAGCTTAGAGCTCCTTCTATGGGATTTCACAAAATTATACCTTTAGTAATAGTATAGTTATTTAAGAAAAACAATGCATTTCACACTATTTTAAACAAAAAAGCAAAATTTTACCACTGAAATACTGAAGCAGACACAAGGAAATAGACAAAAAAGAAAGGAAAGGACAAAAAAAGAACTCTATAGTTTAAAGTGAAAGTATGTGAGTGTAACAGTGACACAAGTAACCTGTCAGATTATTATAAATACCAAACTATTGGTCATATGAGAGCAAATAACAGCAAAAACCATGACTTTAATAAATATGAAAAAGTATATAAGTTGCATAAATGCTACTTCATGTTAAAAGCAAAGCATGTTGGCACTTTATACAGCCACGTGTTTTACATGTGGACGTGAAATCAGCTTTGGAGATCCTCTCACTTCCCCACTATTAACTGTTATAACAGTGTCCTGGAAGGTCTTCTCAGGCAAGCCAGTGGTCACTGCTGCAGTGACCCATTTTTCTGTCAAAAGGCCATGTAATCAACAGAAAACAATTACTGCCTCTCTTTCAGGCGCTCGGAGCGCTCAATACTAGCATCTGCTCACTTCCTAATTACCTGCTCGGTAAGAAGCTTCATTTGGAGAGAAACACACGGCAATCAATCCCTGCATTAAACTTGGTTTGTTTGTCAGCATCCTGAAGTGTCACGCTGAAACCTCTGTTCATTTCAGTTTTGTTTGATTAACTTCTGCTTGACCTACATTCTGTTTATTGGATCTTGTATTTATTGCTGTTAATTCCCTTTTAAATGTGCCTCTTGTTCATGTTTATATTACAGTTCCCTCCTTTTACTCACTCTTTTGCTCCCAGGCTAGTGCTAACCTTTTCCCCCTAGAGCATGGGTTTTAAAAGTGTATCCTTTGTTTAGTGCTTTTTTCCCTCTGTCTTTTCCAAATTTCTACATTCTACAAAAGATTGCCTATTTTGTGGAAAGAATGTGTCACCCTAAACACCCACTCTTGTTTTTAATGGTCCCATTGCATGTCTTTGTGCATTTGAAAGTATGCTGAAAACAGTCTTCTTCTTCGTTTCCACTGTTCCTTTTAGGACTCCCCACAGTGGGTCGTCTGCCTTCATCTTACCCTATCGTACTTTTCTGTCACACCAACCCTCTACATGTCCTCCTTCACTACATCCATGAGCATTCTCTGTGTCAACTTCCTTTGTATCCACTATTTATTCATCTCAGCCAGACTTCACTCTGATGTACTCGTTTCTAATCTTGTCCATTCTGGTCACTCCCAGTGAAGATCTTAGCATCTTCAACTCGACCTCCTGTCGTTTTGTTAGTAACAAAAAATAATTTCCCCCAGGGATCAATAAAGTATTCTGATTCTGATTCTGACACCATCTCCAAAGAATACATCATAGCATCAGCATCTTATAAATCTTCCCTTTCACTCTTGCTACTATCCTTCTGTCACAAATCACCCCTGACACTTGTCTCCACCTGCTCTACTTTGCCTCTCTTTTCCTCACCTCTCTTGTGCACTGACTGTTGCTTTATATGGTTGATCCCAGGTATTTAAACTCATCTAACTTCACTACATCTACTCCTTGCAGCTCCACTGTTACACCTTTCTTTCTATTATTCACACATGTATTCTGTCTTGCTCCTACTGACTTTCATTCTTCTTCTCTCCAGAGCATGCCTCCACCTCTCCAGGTTCTCTTCCACCTGCTCATTACTCTCACTACAGATTCGCAATTTCATCTGCGTGGAAATTTCCATGGAAATTCATCCCTGAGCTCAGAGATGATCCCTAATGTA